ATACGCGCCAATGTCGCAGGGCCTAGCAGGCGTGGCACTTTCTCGACACCAGATGGGGTGCGCAGGGGGTGGTCTCTCACCGCGGTCTCTATGCGCGCCAATGTCGCAGGGCCTAGCAGGCGTGGCACTTTCTCGACACCACAGGGGGTGCGCAGGGGGTGGTCTCTCACCGCGGTCTCTATACGCGCCAATGTCGCAGGGCCTAGCAGGCGTGGCACTTTCTCGACACTGGAGGGGGTGCGCAGGGGGTGGTCCCCCCCTTTCCACCGCTGGTCTCATATTCCCCCCCCAACGCGCCAATGTTCGCAGGGCCTAGCAGGCGTGGGCACTTTTCGACCCGGAGGGGTGCGCAGGGGGTGGTCTTCTTCACCGCGGGTCCCCTATACGCGCCAATGTCGCAGGGCCTAGCAGGCGTGGCACTTTCTCGACACCGCAGGGGGTGCGCAAATGGGGTGGTCTCTCACCGCGATCCCTATACGCGCCAATGTCGCATGGCCTAGCAGGCGTGGCACTTTCTCGACACCAGAGGGGGTGCGCAGGGGGTGGTCTCTCACCGCGGTCCCTATACGCGCCAATGTCGCAGGGCCTAGCAGGCGTGGCACTTTCTCGACACCAGAGGGGTGCGCAAGGGGTGGTCTCTCACCCGCGGGCTCTATACGCGCCAGTGTCGCAGGGCCTAGCAGGCGTGGCACTTTCTCGACACCAGAGGGGGTGCGCAGGGTTGGTCTCTCACCGCGGGCTCTATAGCGCCAATGTCGCAGGGATTAGCAGCGTGGCAACTTTCTCGACATGGAGGGGGTGCGCAGGGGGTGGTCTCTCACCGCGGTCCCTATACGCGCCAATGTCGCAGGGCCTAGCAGGCGTGGCACATTCTCGACACCGGAGGCGGTGCGCAAGGGGGTGGTCTCTCACCGCGGCCCCTATACGCGCCAATGTCGCAGGGCCTAGCAGGCGTGGCACTTCCTCGACACCAGAGGGGGTGAGCACGGGGGTGGTCTCTCACCGCGGGCTCTATACGCGCCAATGTCGCAGGGCCTAGCAGGCGTGGCACTTCCTCGACACCAGAGGGGGTGCGCAGGGGGTGGTCTCTCACCACAGTCTCCATACGCGCCAATGTCGCAGGGCCTGGGGTGCGCAGGGGGTGGTCTCTCACCGCGGTCCCTATACGCGCCAATGTCGCAGGGCCTAGCAGGCGTGGCACTTTCTCGACACCGCAGGGGGTGCGCAAATGGGGTGGTCTCTCACCGCGATCCCTATACGCGCCAATGTCGCATGGCCTAGCAGGCGTGGCACTTTCTCGACACCAGAGGGGGTGCGCAGGGGGTGGTCTCTCACCGCGGTCCCTATACGCGCCAATGTCGCAGGGCCTAGCAGGCGTGGCACTTTCTCGACACCAGAGGGGTGCGCAAGGGGTGGTCTCTCACCCGCGGGCTCTATTGCGCGCCAATGTCGCCAGGGCCTAGCCGGGCGTGGCACTTTCCGACACCGCAGGGGGGTGGCAAGGGTGTCTCTCACCGCGGTCCTCTATCCGTCTCAATGTCGCAGGGCCTAGCAGGCGTGGCACTTTCGCGACACCGCGGGGGTGCGCACGGGGGTGGTCTATCACCGCGGTCCGTATACGCGCCAATGTCACAGGGGCCTAACAGGCGTGGCACTTTCTCCGACTCCAGAGGGGCTGTGCGCCAGGGGGTGGTGAGTCGCACGGGTTGGTCCCTCAACGCGGCCGCTATGCACGACGGTCGTGCAGGGCCTAGCAGGAGCGGCATTTTTCTCTGACACCATAAAAAGGGTGCGTCAGGGGGTGGTCCCTCACCGCCGGCCGCATGCTGCGCGCGTCGTCCAGGGCAGAGCAGGCGTGGCATTTCGACACCCTAGATGGTGCGCAGGGGGTGGTCCCTCACCGCGGCCGCTGGCTGGCTCGAATCTGTCCTCGATGGAGGATAGAAGGCTAGGAAGAGGGAGGAGGTTCAAGCAATATGGCGTTGGATGACACAGAGGGGAACATTCGCGAGGAGGGCTTAGAACACAGAATTGCGCATATATGATAAACTTAAGCAAGCACATAAGATTTTAATTAAGTATGTGGGGTTCCTCGGTAGCGTAATTTGACTATTCTGCATTTTTCTTACAGAAACCGCCTGTTGGAGGACATGCCCGACCTAACGATACGGGTGCTCTTCTGGTCTCTCATTACAGGGCACGGGGCTTTCAAGGAGATGGATCCAGACCCTCTGGGAGGATGAGAATCTGGTCCCTCGAAGGAGTCCAGACCGTTGGGGATCCACGTTGTGAGCAAGCATCACGGCGGGGAAGCAAAGCCCGAGCACGCGTCCAGACGGAACGAGGCTAACTGGGATTCCTACAGGCCCTCTGGCCGAAGCCCCACATGCCGCCACACTGGTCCCGGGCAGGTTGTGCTGCCCGGCGGAAGGGGACGAGGAGGGGAGAGAGAAGCAGGCACACGACGACGACGAACGCCCAGGTGAAAGGCCAGGGCCGGTGGGCGGGCGGGCAAACATCACGAGGTGGGATGTCGGGGTCAATCGCGACTGCATCGGAGGCAGCTTGTAACGAGATTTCTGCCATGGTATGCAGTTCCAGCTGGCGTTCAGGAGGAGCCTTTGAAGTACGGGACCCTTGTATCGAAGACGGCTACGGCGAATCACCGCCGCCCCTGCCTTCTAGGATACGCCAATGTGGCCACACGTTTGGGCAAAGTTTTACCACGCTATTGGGCCATGCGTTGCCCCAGCCGTTGTGGAAGCTCTTCGGGGGATACGTGGGGGAGGGAGAGGAGGGTGAGGAGAGTTGGGGCCTCCTGGGAGCTTTCTGGGGGCCTCTTGAAGGCATCTTGGGGGCCTCCTTGGGCCTCTTGGGAGCCTCTTCGGCCGTCTAACGGCGTTCCTGGCCCGTCTGACGCCGTCGGAAACCGTTTTAGGGGCCTCTCTGGGCCGTCTTGGGGCCCTCTTGGGGCGCTTCAGGGCCGTCTTGAAGACCATCTTTGGCGTCTTGGAGGCATCTTGGGCCATCTTGGGGCCCTTTGGGGCCGCCTTGGGAGCGTCTTGGGCCGTCCTGGGGCCATCTTGGAGGCCTCTTGGGCGATCTCTTAGGGCAATCTTGGGAGCCTCTTGAACCGTCTTGGGTAGACGAGAGGCCGTTTTGAAGCAACTGCCACTATCTCTTAGACAGCCCAAGGCAAGTCAATGACTGTTGGCCTCTTCGGGCCGTCTTAGGACCTCTTGGAGGCCTCTCGGGCCGTCTTAGGGGCTTCGTGGGTGCCTCTTGGGCCGTCTTGGGCCATGTTGAGGCCATCTTGAGGCCATCTTAGGCCGCCTGAGGCGCACCTGGGACCGTCTTGGAGACATCTTGCCGGCATCTTGGAGGCCATCTTGGGCCATCTCGGCTGTCTGGGAGGCCCCCTGGGGACCCTTTTTCGCGCGGGAAGGCCCATGGGCGACGCACGTTCTGGGTGGCCCGCGGCATCGGCCGAGGTCACGGAGGGAGGATTTCTGGAAGAGCCCAAACCGCTTGAAGTGTAGCGCGCCAGGCGCCCCTGTGGCAAGTGCACGCGGGGCGGCCGATCCAGCTGCCCGAGGCACGCCCCGCCACCGTGCCGGTCCAGCACCTCTGGTGGCGACTGTGCAGGGGGCGCGCGCGAGGCCGTATTTGGCGTGTGTGACACCTCGCGGCCCGAGCTTCGGGAGAGCCGTGGCTTGTGATTCGATCTTCCGCGACGTGTCGTGACGGGGGTTCTCTTCTCGTCCTCGTTGTCCGCCTCCCTTTGTTCCCGTACCTCCTTGGGCTCCTGTGGGGCAGTCTTGGGCCTCCCACGGGCCACTTGTGACTGCCCTGGGGCCCTCTTGGGCCGCCTTGGGGCTCCCTTGGGGCTCCCGTGGCGCCGTCGATGGCTGTCGAAGCCCCCTCCTGGCCTGCTTGAGGCCGTCTTGGAGGATTATTGGGCCATTTGGGGGCCCTCTTGGAGCCATCTTGGAGGCCTCTAGCTCTTCCTGAAGCTGAAGGAAGCCCGCAAACGCCCAGACGCCCCCTGAGGCGTCTCGGTCGGCTCTAGATGCCCCAAGAGAGGCTTACAGTGACTCTCAGTATGGCCCTGAGGCGCCAAGAACAAAGGCTCCTCCCATGGCTTCTTCAAAGGTTTAATAATGCTCTTGCCTTTTCGGGCTTCCAGCAGTCCGAGTCCCAGACGGCCCAAGAGGCCTACCCACAACCACAACGAGGTGGATGTTTCGGGAGGGCCCCTCCGGGGAGAACCCATCGACCTCGACATGCGCACCTTGGTTGCGGTTGTGGTCGCTTTGGCAATCTTGGGACGCCAGATCGACCACGGCCAGTACGAAGTGGGTCTCGGTGCTCCGACAAGCTTTGGCATGTGCAAGACATCTCCCACACAGTGTCCTCGATGTGGTCGTGGTCGCCCGTTGTCCCGCACTGATGAACATGTTCGACTCAAGTCTGACGCCAGCTCGACTCCAGTTCGATCCCACTTCGACGCTAGCTCGACTCCAGCTCGGCTCGAGTCGACGGACGTTCGACGCAGCATGGGCGCATGAGTGGAGCGAGTGGTTCCAGGAAGGTCCCCAGAACGAGCAACGAACCATGGGGCCCCGTGTTGTCTTCAGAGGCGCCGCCAGCGGGTCCTCCGCGCCGCCTTCGGCGGGCCAGGAAGCCCTCGAGACAAGGGGGGATGCTGGCAAGGCCCTCCACACCCTCCTCCTCCTCCTCCTCCTCCTCCTCCTCCTCCTCCTCCTCCTCCTCCTCCTCCTCCTCCTCCTCCCCCTCCTCCCCATCCTCCTCCCCCTCCTCCCCCCCTCCTCCTCTCGTCCTCCTCCTCCTCGTCCTCCTCCTCCTCCTCCTGACCCTTGATCCTCCGTCGCGCAGAGGGTCGCCGTGTGAGGCCACGGCCGCCGCCCCCGGCGTTATTGCCGTGCGGCGCCCGCGCGCCCGTGCCCCGGCGCGCGCGCCGCCGCCCCTGCCGGGCCGAGGCTCGCCCGTGTGCCTCTCGAAGCCGCTGGTCTGGCTGATCTACCCGCTGTGCGACCTCGTCTTCCTCACCTCGCCCATCTACCTCGCCCCGGTCGGCCCCGCCCCCCGCCTGCGGGGCCCTTCGTCGCCGTCGTTGCTGCGCCGCCCTCCTCTCACCCCTCGTCCTCTTTCTCCCTCCGCTCCTCCTCCTCCTCCTCCTCCTCCTCCGCCTTCTCCTCCTCCTCCTCCTCCGCCTCCTCCGCCTCCTCCTCCTCCTCCTCCTCCTTCCCCTCGCAGGGTCCATCTCGATCCGACCGATCCGATTTTGGTTCCGAGATTCGACGGTCCGATGCGGCCCGATACTTGCATGGCGCTGGCCGTGCATCCTGTCGCACCCGATCGGATCCGATTTCGAGTTCGTGCCTGTGCAGACGGATCCGACGCACATTTCGATTCGATCCCAATTCCCGATTCGATGCGCCTCATCGTTCATCCAGCCTCCCCTCCTGCTCATGCCCCTCTTCTCTCTCTTCTCGTGCCGTCCGCCCTCGTCCTCCGCCCCCCGCTTCCCGCTCTGGGCCCCCGTCCCTAGCTCCCGGCCGGGAGGCTCCGCGAGCCGCGGACAAGACGTCCGATGCGGCAGTTGCTCAGGAACTCTGTTGGAATTCCCCTACTTCCCCTTTCGGCCTGGACGAACGCCGGGGGCGGCAAAGAGAGGGGTGATGACTAGGGGGGGTGGATATCATGGCGTGGGCCATGGTATTTCCTCAGATCTCATGGCGTCTCTGCTTATCCCCCGCTGGGCCGCGCACATGCCGCCAGTCATGATTTGCACCCCCCCCTCTTGGACACCCCCCTCTTGGCCGCTCCCGAGAAAGGGGGGGATTGGGAAAGGGGGGGTACGAAATCTGCTGCATGCAGCTGGTTTCGGCCCCGCCGTCGGGCCCTGTCCTCGATGCATGGGCGCCTCCCGGCGCCGGGAGGCGCTGGGAAAATCGGCTACGTGAGCTGATTCTCTACCGTACCCTTTGCTATCCCCCCCTTTCGTTCCGCCCGACCCTCCCTCCCTCTCACCAGCCTGGGACCTCTCCCTGCCTCTCTGGCCGGCTTCACCTGACAGCCAGGACGCCCAGAATCGGGACGATCGAAGTGGGTTCGGAAAGAACGGGTGCGATGCCCAACGGCAGTTCTGGTTCATTTTCAACCAGACTCGCTGTCCGCGCCGCCGCAGACGTTGTTCATTGAAGACATAAAGCCGCCTGCCCAACAGCGGCCGCTGTCGTTTTTGGGCAACATTTGTTGTGCTGGGCATTGTACCCATTTTTTCCGTATCCATTTCGGGCGTCCAGACAAGAGAGGACGGACCATTTTGGGATCCAGCCTTTCCGGGGAGCCGCTTCGCGAGAAGGCGCGGTGTCGGATGCCTGGGCCCGTCAGAGCATGCGTGGCGAAACGGAGCTCGTCCCCGAGGGCTGGGAGCTCGAGGAACTGTCGGGGGCATCGTCAGGGGGGGGGATGGGCTCAGGGGGCGGTGCAGCCGACCCCTATCGTTAAGTCGGGCGTGCCCCTCTACAGGAGGAATATTCCAACACAGTCCAGCAATAGTCCGGGGACGATGTTTGTTTGATTATGTTTTGGTTATGTGTTTTGATTATTCTTGTTTCGTCCAAAAGCCGCCCGTAGGGGGACATGCCCGACCTAACCTTATCGTTCCTTGATCGCGGGTAGGGGCTTGATAGCCCACTGCGCCCAGGACCGTGCGATGTCGCGATCGGGGGCCCCTCGCCAAACTGTTGACGATGTCTTTCGCCGATCCCAGCTCGATATTGCGGGTCCCAATAGTAAACACCACCACCACCTTCATTCTTCCCCCCTCCTCTACCCTCCTCTTCCTTTCTTCTTTTCCTGGGAGGGGGAGGG